GGGAAGGTTCCTTGAAGATTTTAAAGGAAGTATCCCAAAAAAAGCAAAATTCTGAATGAATCAGGTTAAAGTCAACCAGCACAAAATAGAAGATAAGAACCAGTTAATCAGACAACCCCTATGTTTAACGTATCTGTCCCTAAATGAGGGCAATACTTGAGTTTACTCCTTATTATGATATAGCCACCCAGCGTACCATCTGATGCTTGTCAACGCTCACATTCACCAGTGCATCTTCCCCGAAGATACTCTTTGCATAAAGATTAGCAGCAATAAATCCACACTCTCCCTCTAATGCAGACCTGGAGATGTAAAGATCGATGACAAGTATGCAAAGAAAAGTGCACCAAAATAATACAAGATTTCTACTATATAAACAGAAAGATATGGCTGTTAAGAATTGCCACAACATAAACAGCCACTAAACAGTCTACCAGAATGTCATTTAGAATATCAAAAGCCACTATGCTTATGAACTAAAACTATGTCTAGTTAAAATGTTAATAGAGATAAGAATGCAATGTAAATGAAATTAATACTGAAACTTCATTTTTAATTTAATTCCATTCTCAATTTAAATAAGTAGATATCAGAAATTATCTCCGAAGAATTCATGCTACCAGTTAAACTTAGTTCAAAGATAAACATTAGGACCAAATTCTACATACAAGAATATTTCAGCAATTAAGTATATGCAGGAATTAAATAGGAACTGAATCAAACAAACTAAGATGTCATTATCTTTCTCCCCTGCATACCTTCTCCTCTCTCAGTAGGTAATGTAGCACGATGGAATAGAGTTTAGAAAGATTTTGAGTAATAATAATGTAGGATTCTAGATTAAGAAAATAATAATGATGTGGGATTATGTGTAATTCTAGATGTAGTTGACTCCTTAAATAAGGGGGATTCGATTATTCATTAACCAGATCCTCCAGAATCTTCTCCCAAACTCTATCCTTATCTCTCTGAATTAAAGACAGAAAGTTGGGTTTCTTGGTGTAATCCTACTTCTATATAGTGGCGTATTTTTCTTGAACATACTAAAACAATAATTCCGAGAAATAATCACAGAAAAGTATAAAATATCAGAGCAGGACACTCCGGAAAATTGCCTTATTTGAACTCGAACCAAACTTAATGACCAAGTACGGCATGAACACCTCATTGTCCGAGTGACCTCTAATCTTTGAATTTGCCCTAAGAGGTAAGCCTGAGGATTTGATTGGGAGTGTAGTAGTCTTACACCCGAGTACCATAGCCAATCTCTCCTCATCCCTTCTATCACCAATTCTAACAACCTTCGTCTTTCTCATGTTAATTTTAAGGTCGGACACCATTTGAAAGCAAAGGAGGATGCATCTCAAATGTAACATAGCATTTATAGAAAGTTCACAAAAAATGAGAGCATCATCCGCAAAGAAAAGATGAGAAATTCTTAACCACTCCTTCCCCCTCCCCACCTCCATCCCCTTCAATAAATCTAACTCCCCCGCCCTCTCCATCAATCTACTAAAGGCCTCCATTACGGTAAGGAAAAGTAAAGGTAACAAAGGATCCCCTTGGAGAAGACCTCTAGAAGCATTAAAGAAAGAAGATGGACCCCCATTCACCATAACCACGAAAGAGGTGGTAGATATGCATTTCATGATCCAACCACGCCATTTATCCCCAAATCCCATCCTCATCATCATCTAGTCCACAAAATTCCAGCAAACATGATCATAAGACTTCTCCATGTCGATTTTGCATAAGACGCCCTCTTTTTTCCAGCTCACCAAATCATACTTCATTGGTAATCATCATAGCATCAAGAATTTGCCTACCGTCAACAAAAGAATTCTGCTTTTCACCAATCACCTCCCCCAACACCTTAGAAAGTCTCTTGGCAAGCACTTTAGAAATCAATTTGTACAAACTCCCCACCAAGTTAATCAATCTAAACTCTTTTATATCTTTCGCACCCGCCACCTTAGGGATAAGAACCAAGAAAGTCGAGCTGATGGATTTGACAAAACACCCCGTTTTATGGAACTCGTTAAAACATCAAGCACATCTTTGTTAATCACGTTCCAAAAAACCTGATAGAATTTCATATTGAAACCATTCGGACCCGGTGCCTTCTCCTCATTGCAGTCATCAAGGCAACCCTTGACTTCCTCTTCCATAAATGGAACCTCCAAACCATTTCTACTCTCATCCCCAAGTCTCTTAAAATGCAAATTATCAAGGTTGGGCCTACTGGATTCATCTTCAGAGTAGAGATGCTAGGGTTTCTTGTAACAGTTGGTTAGATCTACCTTCCAATAAAGATAGTGAGATTATGTTGTAGCACTATCGACTGGCTCATCCTAATTTTACATATCTTGAAAAAATTGTACCCATCATTACTCATTAATAAAAATTTCCAAACACATGCATAAAATTTATCCTAATGTCACCCTTTTACTTAATCTACAGTAATATGTGGGGTCCTTTAAGATTGAAAAACATAATAGGTACAAGGTGGTTTTGTCATTATTAATGATCATACTAGGCTAACTTGGGTATTTCTTATGAAAGAAAAAACTAAGGTTGGTCAGATATTCCAAAACTTCAATACTATGATACAAACTCAATTCCAAACCAAGATTCAAGCTCTCAAAACTGATAAGGCCAAAGAATATTTAAAATCAATGGCTCCTACCTCCTAAATCATAACATATCATCTACGCTTACTAGTTGACACTCTGCAATAAGACAGAGTCGCTGAAAAGAGAAATAGATCTCTCTTAGACGTAACTCAATCTCTCATGTCCTACTCCTATGTTCCAAAACATTTTTGGGGAGAGAG